TCACAAATTATCATTAAGCCAAAAGAAAAAAAAAAAATGAAAGACGTCTTAAGGATGGGAAATTTCTATAGTAAACAAAAGAAGAACAGTTTTAATACGTAAAACACAAAGACTTGTGAAATGGAAACATCTCCTCGCTGCAGTCTCATTAATTATGGTGTGCGGGTAACAACATGCTTAAATTAGGTGCTTATCTTTCACCCACAAATGTAACAGCACTAGTAGTCTGTATGAAGGTGCCACCGGTACTTGGGAAAAAATTAAAACAAAACAAAATCATGGCAATAACTACAAATACTTTTACTTATACCTCTTCAAGAGCCAAGAACCAAGGCGGGTGAGACTCTCCTACGAAGGGACCCAACAGGAGCTAGCATATAAAATCCGGCCTTTCCATCCCTGTATCATCCAGTGGCCATCTTCACCAAACAGAAAATCTTTGTGGTACCTAGCCATGGCCTTCTTATGCTTTAGCTTCTCCATAATCTCTGGATTCAAGGGGAATGGTTTGAACCCAGCCCTGATTAGACGAAATTGCCATTGTTTGTACGTCTCGGGTCTTTCTACCCTCTCCATTCCCTCGCAAGCAATTGTGTTAATTACCTCTGGCCCATAAAACCCCTGCTCAAACACCATTCTCTGCGGATGATCACGAGGTAGAGTAGCATCAAACATATCAAACAGCGCCGAATAGTGGAAAAGAGCCTCCCTGAAACGAGTCACGAAGAAGGGCGCACTATACGATCCACTGGTGACGGCATTCACAAATATAGCCGGCTTCATTTTTCTCACCAATCTCAGAACCTCATCACGCGGGCTGTTGGCCACAACAGTCTCATCAAGCAACCGACCAAATCGAAAGAGACAGTTCACAGCCAGCATCTCGCCACTCACTATCTTAAAATCCTCAATCCTAATGGCCTCCCAGTTCTTAGATGCAACTGCTTGGTACTCAAACGGCACACCAAAACGTTGGCAGTACCTGGCCAGCCGGACCCCGGTCTCTTCCACTCTCTCAGCTGGCCTGAAACCGGGCTGTGGAATCTCAATCCCAGTAATGCGCAGTTTTGGGGGCCCACCGGGTCTTTCCGAGAGTTGCTGGATGAGAACGGGCCACTGGAAACCGTAGAGAATGCCGAAATCTATGATGTGCAGCGTAGTTTCCTTTTCTGATACAGCGGCAATCATCTTGTTAGCGAAGAAAATCGACATCTTCTTGAACGGGCAGATGGAGAGATAAAGCTGGTAGGCCTCCAGCTTCTGGGCGGCCGTAATGTTCCTTCGAGTGAGAGATGTATAAAGCTCGGTCCCAGTGCCACCCAGGCGTGCCTGAAGACCACTGGCAAACACGTAAGCCAACCTCTGGTAAACATCACCGGTGGGGGAAGAATGCTTCCCGATCTGCCTTAATTGTTCATATGCAGTTACACGATCATCACTAGCCACAGATTGGGCACAGCTAATCAATAGGGTTCGGAGGTCCACCGAATCATCCTTGCTCATGTTTTTCAGAGTGTGGGCACTACCACCACTGGACACATCACCACTGTAATGTTCGTTTGGATCGGTGCATAAGAGAACACGATCAAACATTTCAGACAGCTCGATTTCATCGATGTAAGTCACGGATTGTTTACTGCTTCTTTCCAAGCCCTCTGAATCACCATCTTCTGGATACTGATGTTTCCTTCCCTTTGAGCCGTTATTATTTTTAGAAAAGTCTTCAACATCTTCTTTTTCCGACTTGGTTGTCGTAGGAGGAGTTATGTTTTCCGATTTCTGAGGTAACTCATATTTGTCCAAATCTATGAACAGTGGGTTCCTGGAGGGCAAAAACTTACTGGCTTCTTCCATCCCTCTCTTGAACTGCAAGATGGACTCACTATCCGTGAAAAAGTTTTGCAGCAGGGTCGTGTTTTCAAAGGAGTTCGACTGAGTATCGGCTATGTCTTTGGAGCTGTTGACAGTACCCAACGACAATTGTGAACTATTATTTACCTGCAGCAGTGAACTGGGCAAAAATCCATCTAGATGCCCGTGTTGGTCCACCGAGGAATTATGTTCGCCTGGATCGAGAAGCCGTTGAGCATCAACTGAACTACTGCCCGCATTACTGCTGCCAGTGTACTCACTGCAGACCCTGCTCATGCTATCAGAGTTACCCAAAGGTTGATAACCATAATTTACCTTATGATAAGGTGAAGATGGGTATTTCTCACCGATAACTTCATACAAAGATTTCTCAGCAGCCTGTAGGGCAAGCGGATCGTGAAACATGCTGGGCTGCTCATCCATATTCTCTTCAAGCAGAATTTGGTTAAGGAACTTAAGCACTGGATCAGAGTCTTGATCATCTGGAGACACCGATTCATAGCTCAAGGTCGAAGATGGAGCAAAACTATCAGGGCTTGGGCTTAATGGCAAGAAAGACAGGTCAAGGACATCGAGCTCCAAGAGATCGCGTTCACTGTTTTGGGATTGCTCATAGCTAGGAAGTGACTTCTCGCTATCAAACTCAAGTCCATTAACTGGATGGGGCATTTCACTAAATCTGGGATCCATGATAATTGATGTCTTCAAAATTCCTACTCAAATAAAAGGTCAGCATTGATGAGTCGAAATCCCCATAATCCATTACACTGGAAAGTTAAAGCCTTGAAAATTATGTACAATAACATCATGAGTCAGCAGATAACATCATAACCTATCACATATATGAATAAATAAAGGATAAAGCCCTTAAGAAATCTAAGAATGAAAATATGAATATGAATGAACCAAGGTTTTCCCTTCCACCAAAATCACAAAATAAAGCCAAAAAAGTCCACGAGACATATGAATATAACACAAGAACATAGGATCCTAACATAACCTCCTTAATTGCAACAATAGATACATGCGATACAATTATTTCACCATCCAACTCCGACCCGTGTGACTGTGTCACACGCCATACCAACTGAGCTTGAAGCTTCTCCTGCTACCCCAGAACCATTATGTACTTCTTCCCTCGTACACATAAGAAGAATTTATAGAAAATAAAGATCTCACAATACAGTGACCTTGACCTCGGGAATTCAGATTCACTCTGAAAACCACAAGGAGAGAGGGAGAGAGAGAGAGAGAGAGAGAGAGAGAGAGAGAGAGAGAGAGAGAGAGAGACCCTAAAGAAAACATGCAATTAGGTTAACGAGTAACTTCATCCAGAAAATACAAGCATGCCCGCCCTAGACAAACATCAGTACAAACTAACAAATAGACAAGAATCAGAGACGACAAGTTTAAAAAGGGAAACGAGGAGGACATACAAGAATAATCACTAAGCACGGAAATACTTCAGATCCAAGAAATAGAACACACACAAAATAAGGAAATCAAATTATTTGTACAAACAAAAGAAAAGTGCAAGAAGAACAACAACAAAATATCAGACAGAGTCCCCCAAAAAAAAATAAATAAATAAAATAAAAAATCGAAGGGCATACCTTAGATTGTTCGCCGTTAAACGGAGACGATCACAAAAATGGGGTTGCTAGTGAAAGAGAGTACTCTTAAAATGAAGATGACTATGCGAAGCTCTTTAGATAGATTCTACATTAATTTGTAGAGGCCGAAAATGTCCTTTTCGACGTTTTCCATAATTACACCCAGCCCCTGGGTGATTTATTAAAAAATAAATAAAAAATAAAAAATAAAAAAAATAAAATACTTAAAAATAGGTGGACAAAAAAAATGAAAAAAAAAAGAGTAGCCCGAAATCAAAAACACGTATTCACAAAATACGTTTTCTTAAAATAATTTTTCGTAAAACGTATTCCTTGAATACGTGTTTAAATTAAATTTGTTTAATTATTTGAAAAATATATTGCCGAAAATTGTATATCCAATTTTAATTTAAAACTGTATTTAACAAATAGGTTTTCCTAAAAACCCCAAATTAATTTGAAATCTTAAAACCTAAATTAATTTTAAACTCTTCTTCAATTTACTATAATTAAATTTGAGTAAACGTATAACTGAAATACGTTTTATACACCCTAAATCAATTTAGGTTTTATAAGACGTATTTCATTAATACGCTTTTTACCGTAAATAAACTATTAATTAATTTTTAAGAAAAAATTAAATTAAAATAAAACATATTATTAGAATACGTTTTCTAAAAACCCTAAAAATGTTTTACACATATTTCAGAAATACGGTTTCATAATATAATAAAAAAATAAAAACGTATTTGCAAAATATGGTTTTAACAAATTATAAGTACGAAAAAATCTTCTTCTCCACCACTCTGCGCGAACAAAACAGAGAGGAGAAAAAGAACCTCAATTCGATCTTCACCTCAAAATAAAAAAAAAAATTAAAAATTTAACAATCAATCGATTCGGAGAAGAGGTTAGTTGTTATTTTAATGTAATGTAATTGCATTTTTTTTTTTTTGTTTATGAATGTGTAAGAAATATTTGTTGGTTTTGATGAGTATAGTTTAGAAAAGATTTATTGTTGATTTTATAGTTGTATTAAATGATTATACATTGTTCTTGGTTAATGGGTTTCGGTGTATGTTGAGAATTTTTTCCAAAATTAGATAATTTGTATTGTATGGTTGGATTATGAGAATTAGGGTTTTGGAAAGTTATTTTATAAAAGAATTGATGATTTTTTTTTTATTGTAGTACTAATTGGAAATATTTATCTTGATTTGAGTAAAAAAAAATCATTGAATTTTTATTTTTTTTTTATGTTGGGGATGCTAAAAGAATAATTGGATTTTTTGGGAGATTATGTGTTGTTGTAATTGGGAAGAATTGAAAGTGTATTATAATTTATATGTTATTGATGGATTACGAGTATTAGGGTTTGTGAGGATTATTTGATAAAAGAATTTGTGATTTTATTTTTAATGTTGTAGTATTAATTTAAATTTTAATTTTAGTAAAAAAAAAAATTGAATTCTATTTTCTGGTTGTGGGAATGATAAAAGAATAATTGAAAATTTTGGGTGTTGGGTTAGAAAGTATGTGTTTGTAATTAGGAAGAATTGAAAGTGTTATTTGCAACATGTATAAATGGCGTCTACCGAACCATACTTTGTTAATGTGTATTGGAATCTCCAAGGAGTTGTTATACTATTTTTCAGATTTTAAAAACTCTCCGGATGTTTCATTTAGCATTGGGGAGAAGATATCATTTGAACAATTGCTAGATATGCTTTATGAAAAATTTTGTGTTCGTCGAAATAGTTGGATAATTAATTGAGGAGATTAATTTACTAACTAACCAACCCGATGGTTCGTGGAATATTGGAAACCTGAATACTGATAGTGCTCTTCAGTGGATATATTATTTTCCTCCTTTCTCTTATGTGTATTTACATTTAGAGTTGAAGCAGGTTACACAGACACCTATAGAGGTTACGCAGTTTGAGGATGTTGAGGGTACGTCAACTTCGCATGTTCGTAATTTTGGCGAAGAGACAAGCTAAACAATTAGAGAATGCGATAATGAGAAAGAAAGTGATGATGATTTCATTCCTGGTGAAGACGATTTCACAGATGATACCTCGGAAACGGAATCGGATAGATCAATAAACAAGGAGAGTGAACCATAATTTATTGAAGAACACCCATTTTCTAGTAGCGGTCAACACGTGTATCGCGAGATGGGTGAGTGGGACCCGTCGTGTGTAGACTGGGATGAGCATGCTCTGATACGTTGTAATGGAAATGTTGAGACTATCTGTTTGGGTACTGTTTTCCGGTCCAAGAAAGAAGCACAGATGGGTATCATGAATTGGAACGTTAGTAGGTTGAGGGAGGTTAAGACAACATATTCGAATAAGAAATCATTCAATGTGGTGTGCAAATCTAACGAAGATCAACCTTGTCCGTGGAGGGCTCGGGTGACGCACTTCCCACCGGTTCATGAACTGTGGGAAGTAACGGAATGAACTGAGAGGCATAGTTGTATGCAAGAAGTCGAAAAAAATGACCACAGAACTATAACCGCCACAATGATTTCAAATCTTGTCATGACCAAGATTCAAAAGAAACCCGACTACAATGTTACCCAGATTCAGGCGGATGTTAAAAAATGTTGGAAAGTCGATGTGAGCTATAAGAAGGCATAGCACGGGAGGAAAAAGGTCATCGATTATTTATATGGCATTTGGGAATCGAACTTCGCACAACTCCTTCAGTAAGAAAAAATTTATTAAAAATGCACGTGTTATTTGTCACTATGTTTATGTATTGACGATTACGTTTTCTAACGTGCAGGTTTTTTGCGGCTTCAAAGAGCGAATCCCACTACAGTTGTACAGTGGGAATGGCAGGGTGGGGAAATGGCGGCCCACTATCAGCACAGAGAATTCAATTTTGTTTTTTAGGCGTTTGGTCCCGCCATTCAGACCTTCCAGAGATTCCCACCGCTAATTAGCATGGACGACACACATTTGCGTGGCTCGTACAAAGGGAAGTTGCTTGTGGTCGTTGCACAGACTGCGAATAAGCGGCTATTGCCAATCGCCTATGCGATTGTGGATAAAGAGAGCAGGGAAAGCTGGTCATTTTTCCTGACAAATCTCTGGCAACATGTTGTCAGCAATAGACATATATGTTTTCTTTCGGACAGGGATACGGGCTTACAGAGTGCCGTGGAATCATTGGAAGCTTCGCAAGAACCCGCTGCATATCACCGGATTTGTCTTCGATACATTAGGAGCAACGTGGTTACTAGGTTCAGGAATAACAAAATCCGAAATTGGTGTTGGGAGTTGGGTTCACAGGTTTCAGAGCAACAATTTCAACAGATACAAGAGTGGCTTTCGAATTTTAATCTGTAAGCTTTTGATGGCGGTCATCGGGCTTTTGATGGCGGTCGTCGGGCTTTTGATGGCGGTCACCGGGCTTTTGA